ATGGCTAAAATATTGGTATGATGCAATCTTATCTTATTAAAAAGGACAAGCTGTTTTCATTTATATGGGCTCATTGGTAACTCGGTATTTAGTATTTAGCTTCTGGAATGTTAGCAGGATATTATCCATTTTTTGAGAAGAAATATATTAAATTTTTTGAACGAAAAATATATATTTAACTTTTTAATCACATAGAATCCATAGCAACTAAGCAGCAGTCTTTTTAGTGAGGCTGTGCCTGCTTTTTATTTTATTTAACAAGTAATGTAAGACCAAGCTTAGTCTTCAGAAATGTAAAGAAATGCAGAGCTAGCTGTCCTGCACTGCACATGGATTTGTATTGTTAATGGCGTTCAGTCCTTCAGATTTTTTTTTAATAACAGTCATTCAGATGTGGCCGGCTCTTTGATAATACCAGCAGCCTCACTCCGTCAGGTCTCTCCGTTACTCATTACAGCTACTAAAATTATTTCTGAAACTACTGTAATGACATGATCTGGAGATATATAAAATTAAATAATAACAAGGCAGACACACATCAGAAGTTTTATTATTCGGGAAATTTCGTATAGTATTCTTGCTCTCAATCCTTGGACAATTTTGCTGTTGTCTATGTGTTGTTTGTTTTTCATTGTTTTATTAGAAATAGAGAAGTCGTTGTTATGTAACCAGGTTTGCTTCTTCTTTTGTATTATTAAAAAACATATCTTTTGTATATAAAAAAAATTGTTGTCTATTGTTTTTTATAAGTTTTCTGTCTATCGTTGAAAAGATACTATAGATAGCTCCTGTCTGTTATTTTTTATTTCAGGGCTGCAGAAAGGGTATTAGTATTTTCGAAGGAGAAAAAAAAAAGAAAATAATTGATGTTTGATGAAGACGAGAAGAGTGGAAGCGGCGTTAAGCGACGCGTGTTAATTAACGTTGAAATGAAAGAATGCTCTGCTCCTGCACCGTCGTTGTTTAATGCCTATAAATAAAGGTGGTCAGAAACGTCGTCTCTAGCACCACCAACAACATCCAAGCGCAGGCAGCCGAGCTCAAGAAACGCCTCCTCCGGTCCTCCCTCTCGCCTCCGCCGTCCTCCTCACCATGGCTCTGGACTCGGTTCCTCCTTACCCCTGCGACCTGGGCTCCAGCAGGGCTGCCGCCGCCAGGACCCAGCAGAGGATCAGGTACGCAGCGTCCTCGGTCGATTCCTCCTTGCCCCCCGCCGCGAAATTTGCGCTGCGAGTTTCAGTCTCACGGTGTGTGTGCGCCTGTTCTTAAAAAAAATATCAAAATCGGCAGGAAAGATGAGCGCACCTGGACCTCGGACACGTACGCGCCGTACGACGACGGGCACCAGTGGAGGAAGTACGGCGAGAAGAAGCTCTCCAACTCCAACTTCCCCAGGTTCGTTCCGTTTACCCATAGCCCCTCTTGCCCTACAGTGTTCCCTCAAATTAGCGTCTTTTGTTCCTGTTATGTATCGCGGATGGTCAATTTAGTTCTTATTACCAGATCTGGAGTGTGTTTATGAGACCTGTTGCTGGTTCCACTGGGGGTGGTTACCTCAACTCTTCAGAATTTATTTAAGGACAAGTTCTTGCCTTGTTTTGACTGCAATAATTCCTCATTTTTAGTATCTTTATATATGCTATCCTGGCTTCTAGTGTAGTAGTATAAGTAAAGATGAACTGCGCGTACTTCCTATCTCTAGTCTAGTGTTAGTATAATTTTTATCTTAAATGAAGCGTGTTTGCCGGTTGCAGTAGTTTTGTGGGCAGGCACACATCTGGACCTTTTCAGTATGGATTGTTTACCTCCTGATGCCACATGGAACTGGAAGAGGATCATATATATGCCTGTTGTGTATTTTACGTCTCTCATTCATCTTGTCTTGTGCTAGACTGCTAGCTTAAGAAAATTGCTATTCACCAAAATCCCTGCTCGCGCAGGAGTATCGAATACCATAGGTGGTTCAGCGGTCTGAGTGAGTGGAGAACAAATCTGAAACTGACAGTGGGTAGCAGTTGCAGGCATGTTCATCTAAGCTCCAATTTCCACATATCTAAATTCAATCTAATGTTGCTACTATACGTTGTCCGCAAAAAGAAACAAATCTCTTGCTTCTGGTCAATATATAGTCTTTGTATGTTTAGTGTGTGGGCCAAATACTTTTTATTTTCCCCCCCAAATCACATTGCCGCTTAGTGCGACTAACGTTTGAATATCAGGGGAGACGGACATATCAAATTGTGTGATTGTCTACTAGTCGCTCTCTGGTGGAATTGTCGGTGGACAGGTGTCGCCGTACCCTTGAATGATTGAAATAATAACAAATGCTTGTGAAATAGAAAAGTCTTTTATGTCGTGACTACTGGAAAAAGAACATTCAAAGTGGAAATCTCTTTCCTAACTGACAACTCAACTAGGCACATAAAGAACTCGTAAAGTGTTACTTCAGACTTCCTTCCTCTTAACACTTCTTATATGTGAATATACAGTTCACAAGTTGGCCACCTTTAGTACCTGTCATTTGCAACTCGTTTGAAATCTAATACTTCACTAGCATACTAAAAGTTGCCTCATTTGTTTAGCGTGCATGTTGTCCAACTCAAGTCTTCAGCTATTAGTAGTATCCATGCCGACAGTCTCTGGCAGTCCTTTTTCTGCATTTTTAGAAAGCGATTGGAATGCGGTGCAGACCCCCATATATTGTTAGCCCATCAAGAGCATGTTAATTGATGGGGAGCTAATGTTTATTTTCTAAAAGGCAGTGGACGCAGTAGATGAAGAGGCCTCAAAAGTGTTTGTAGATGGTGTTCCACCTAATTTAGGTAGACTGAATGTTGACAGAGGGGGGAAGGACATGATGCATCTTTATTTTCCAAAATACTCACCCACTTACTGAGTTAAAGGTAAGTAGACCTTTGACATTTGGATGTTATTGCAGAGTCCTTCCAGAATTGTTAAGAGGAATAAGACAAGTTGGTACACTAAAGTCTAAAGAAATCTTTAAAAAGGTGTCATTCAACCTTCTGAGAGGAAATTTAATAGGACCGTGTGTTTTACTCACTAACTGTCGGTCTCTAATAGAGAATTAGTGAAAAACTGAGAAATTTCATTTTGACGCAAAGCAGCTCAACTCAAAGTCCCTTCCTGTGACTTTGTGATGTCCTCTTGTTATATTATTAGTGGAAGACATGCAAGTACTGATCTCAAAACGTAAAAAGGATGGAACAGAGTATTCTCTTACATATGACTGAACTTTTCGTTTAAAGTATTTACACTGCATTTAGTATTTTCGCAAATAATTCTTCTCTTCCCTTTTGGAATGAACTTTTCTTACATGTCATCCTATTTTCAGGTTCTATTACAGATGCACCTACAAGAACGACATGAAGTGCCCCGCGACGAAGCAAGTCCAGCAGAAGGACACCAGCGACCCACCATTGTTCTCTGTCACTTACTTCAATCATCACACCTGCAGCACCAGCTCAAGCGCCTTAGGAAGCGCTAGAGACATAGCGTCGCAGTCATCTTCGGAGAAGGCAGTGTCAATCTGCTTCAGCCAGCACGCCGCCTCTGAACAGCCCTCATTCCTGACATCCCCAGCCACACCACGGTCGGCGATCGTGCACTCTTACAGCGCTAACCAACAGCCTGACAGGAGCGCCTACGCACACCAGTTCCAGTGGACAGGCGGTGTACCATCTCCCACAAGTAACGGTCCTGCTAAGATGGAGGTTGATGACTCTGCGCAGCCAAGCCCTTCGTCCAGCAGCAACAGCGCTCTGTCAAGGACGCTGTTGCCAATCGGTCAGTCCAGGTGCATCGAGTACTTCCATTTCTTGTGATGAACTTCAGGAATGGAAGCAGCAGCATTGTCTGCCTCTTGGAGTGGCAAGTGGAGTTTGTATCTTGAGTTGGCGGCGATATTACTGTCCCGGACCTGAAGCCTGAACTACACAGGCCGGGGCCCAATATACTGATCTGCATTGCATAGAGAGATGATTGCCTGCTGCTTACTTCTTTGCATTTGGATTCAAGCCATGTTTTTGTGCTTGAATGATGTGAAGAATGGTATTTGGACTATTGGGGTTTCTTTATTATCTGGTAGTACATAAATGATACGTACGAAGGGCAGGCCTGGTGCAGTGGTGAGAGCTGTCAGACTGAGTCACCAGGTTGCGGGCTCGAAGCAGCCTCTCCGTAGATTTTACGGGAGAAGGCTTGCCTCGGTTTTTCTTTCTCCAGACCTCACTCATGTGGGAGCCTCCGGCAGTGGGTCTACCCTTTTTTACATGAATGATATGTACAGAATGGGCGCTTGACAGTTGAGATAGCTCCATTTGTTTGTTTAGAGACTGATACTAGTATGTCTCGGATTCCTGGCAGCAGATTATTGGCCATGTTCAGTCTGCTACTACTGAAATGCTGAAGGTTACAGATTCTATACAGTCACAGTTTTATTAAGATGTTTTCTACAATTTTAGAAGCAGGTTGGTTTCTGTTTCTCTATCAAAAGAAAATACAGTCTAGTTTATACCTGGTGGATCTTGTTCAGTTCATATTCGAAAATCCAAATTCGTCCAAAGTTGAAGTGGAGAAATGAGACTAGAGTATGGCTCCAGTGAGCTTATTGCAACACGAATTACGAGCGCACTTGAGACGAAGGCAAAACCATCTACGGCCCTGTTCGTTTGTTTCGTAATCCGTACTTTTTATTTTGTTTTTTTAGCTGGAACAGTGTTTTTCTCTCACGACAAATAAGTAGGAACGTCCCCCGCGCACCTCAGCCCACCGCGCCGGCTGGGCGCACCGCCGCCTCGTCCGCGAGCTCCCTCACCCAACTGGCCACCTCAGCCCACCGCCGGCCGTTCACCGCGTCGTCAAGCACCCTCGCGACCTCGTCCGCGGTGCCACCGGGCGCCGCGTTGAGCCAGCCCCAGCTCACGGGCACGGCCGCGCCGAGCTCGTCCACGAGCAGCCGCGCGTTCACGAATGGTCGGCGGTCATCGGCCACGCCAGCGGGCTCTCGGAGACGTCGTCGCCCTGCCGGAACGTCCGGTCCGATACAGCGCCGACATCTGCCGCCACGGGAACGCCGGCGCGCCCGGGAGGTCGGGTAAGGCGATGGGGCTGTCGTCGTCGCGCTCGTCCTCGCGGCGGGGCATCCGGCGGAACAGCGACTGCAGCACGGCGGTGCCGCACACCGCGTCCGGCGAGAACACCACCCGCGGGACGCCGAGCTCGGCCGCCAGCGGCTGCGTCCAGCCGCAGAAGAAGTCGGAGAGCACGGCTACCACGCGGTCGGGACCGTCCGCACGTTCGCGGGCCCAGGAGAGGAGCGGGCCGCGGAGGTCCGCGAAGGCGACGATGAGCGCCGGGGGCAGGTGCTTGGCGCTCTCGACGCCCGCGGGCAGGGCGTGGTGGGAAGAGAACGGGGGCGTGAGCGCGCGGACGGCGCCGTCGGGTTGCGCGGACAGGAGCGGCGCGAGCTGTGGCGCGGTGGCGGGCGTGGCGACGACGGTCAGGCGGAGGCCCCGGGACGCGAGGAGGCCTGTGAGGTCGAGGAGCGCCAGCATGTGGCCTTGCGCCGGGCACGGGACGACCAGGACGTGCGGCGCCGGAGAAGAGTCGGCAGGCGTGGCCATGGCAACGTACGTACTCTCGCACTCTAATCTCCTGCCGGAGTGGGAGGCAGGGAGGGCGAGGGCGAATGTGATGCCCGTCCGACGTCTGTGTCGGTGCTGTCCTTTCATGTCGGAGATTCCCCGGTCCATTATCGTTAGAAGAGACGATTTGCACCTGAAATAAGGGGCTCAAATTTCTCTTTATTATATCAAACTAATGAAATTAAACTTTTTTTCTATCTTAGTGCAAAGACGCTGCGTGATCGAGAGAAAAAAAACTAATGAACATATCCATATGTTGCAATGAGACGTATAATTTGTTGCATGGTCATCTACTCGAAGATAATTACAGCTCTGAGATTTTCAATAAATGTGGTCTATTCCAATTTGTCTTGGAGTCGAACTCCATTTCGTCACTTCACGAAATCAGCCTTCGTACCATGACTAGACGCTAGTGTTCTAACTCATATGAGTTATTGAGTTCAGGTTACACACGGAGGACTTAGTGGCATTGTGAAAAAAAAGGTGTACTAAAAATTTCTCTGTCTTTAATATTAAATATAGACAGACTATTCCAGTAAATAAAGGGCATGTGTCTACCTAGTAACACATCATTCTCGGAGGTAGTGATAAGGTGCAGTTGGAAGGTTTTTTCGATCATTGGATCGACCAAAAAAACATCAAAGTGATCAATTAGTTAAGATTATGAAGCAAGAAAGTTGGTAAACGGATGAAGTAATTAAAGAGTGGCCCTAAACTACCACTAGATATCGATTAGGCTGAGCTAGGTTGCATGGGCAAGAAATAGTTCTGGGTTGCTGATTCAAACATGATTGTCTGCAACTATTCTCTTTTTTTTTCTCTCCATGCACAAAGTAGTTGCTAACGCGTAAAATTTTCACGGTGAAAGGTGCCCAGGATCGGATGCTCTATCGACTATCACTCTCACTCCATAATATGGTAATAATCTCTAAACAAGGACAGCATATTTGCATTGTCATTCTGCTATATACTCCCGAAGAGGCTGAAGGTTTTATACGCCTCTTTTTTGTTTTTTTTCCTTCAAATGCATGCATGCAATTTTAGAAACAAGCTGGCTGCAGGGACAGATCCAACGGTGGGGCGGGTGGGGCTCTGGCCCCCGCCGGACCCAGAGAAGAAACAACTTGAGAGGAATTTTGCCATGGATGTTGTCCGGAGGTTGAAAAAGCCCCCCTAGATATTTTTCTAGATCAGTCCCTGCTCCCTTTCTTCTCTGAAAAAAAGGTCAGTATTGGAGGCAAAATATTGGCAACCTTAACTGAATTGAATTTATTACAGTTGACCCAGGGTCCAAAGACCTGGAGAAGTTCGATCATATTTAGTGGGCCTGAAGAACCATTTCGTGTAGGCTGTTGACTTCAGAGTTCATAGACCGTCACTGGCTGTGGTGTTGGGCCTGCCCATGCAAGCACGTGGGCTCAGGCTGCGCGTTTGGGCTGTAGCGCTGTGGGCTATCATCCAGTGACGTGCGGAGCTATGGTGGTCTGGGCGTAAGATGGGTTCTCTTCCTTCTTTCTTTCTTTTAGAAAATTAGTTTCTTGACCCTAAAAAAAAGTTGTGCTTAGTTTCTTAGCCATTTTTCTCTTGAACTTGCCTATTTGGCCCTAAAATGAATTTTATTTAGTTCATTGACCCTTTCCGTTAGTTTGACCCTTTCCGTTAGTTTGACCCTTTCTCTTGAACAGTGCTAACTTGTACGCGAAATGACTCTTTTACCTCAAGCGCCGAAGGCAACAGTCCAACAGCCTACAATAGAGATATACAGACCTTTGAGGCTGCCTATTATAAAAAATTTCCAAAAATAAGGTATAATGTTTTTTCAAGCAAAGAATCATTAGTTTTTTATATATATTGTGCAAATATAATGATTTCATACTTGAAAAAATATTTTCAGCAGGCTGCCTATAGTAGAGTCATGTGCAAATATATATAAAAATAATTTTCTCATACAAGTTATTTTGCGTATAAGTAGAGGACTGTTGCCTTGGGCACAAGGGGTAAAAGAGTCATTTCGCATACAAGTTAACACCGTTAGACCATCAAACTAATAGAAGGGCCGAGAAACTAAACAAAATTCATTTTAGGGCCGAATAGGCAAGTTTGAAGGAAAAAGGCCAAAAAAACTAAGCGCAACTTTCTTTAGGCCAAGAAACTAATTTTGTCTTTTCTTTTTCAATTTTGTTGCTTCTGTACTGTTGCTGGAACGGTGGCAGTACTACATGCAAAACCTAAAATGGAACAGATACCGCCGTACTCAATTGGTACTACTGTCGTCCATAAAAGAATGCAATTCTAGCACAGTGTCACGTTTTAGTACCTTAAGTTTGACCAATTATAGATAAAAAGTATCTATATTTATGATACCAAATAATTACCATCAGATTAATTACAAAATATATTTTCATAATAAATTAATTTAAAGTCATAAATATGAATATTATTCACTAAAAACTTAGTCAAACGTGAACCACTTTTCGTGGCACGCAACCCATAGTTGCATTCTTTTCAAGACAGTACAAGATATTCTATTATGAACTAATAAAGGGCGGCACTTCCTAAAAAAAACTGGTACAAGATATTGCAAGTTGCAACGATGACCTGTCCTTTTTTTTAACAGAACTTGAGAACTTGTACCCGAATTTATATATGTTTCCAACAAGCACCTTGGCATCATCATTATTATTAGAGTCAATTTTGAATTTACCGCTAGAGTCATTGAATTTGAAAAAAAACCTCTAACTTCAATACCAGACTATATACACCTTAGCTTTTAAAACTGAACAAAATACTCTACTTGACAATTTCAAAGTAATTTTTATTGACGTGGCAATGAGCCCCACATGTAAGGTGGTCTCTTTCTATTCTCTTATATAAAGAATCATAACTTTTTCATATGAAGTCGGATTAATACAAACTTTATATCAACATTGTAGAGCTCGACACAATCTATGACTTTTTAGTTGATAACTTTTATATTTGTAGAGCTCAACACATGTAAAACATTTTCAATGATCTTGGGGATGTTGGCATGATCTATATTCCTCAATGTGATCCACAACTTTATAGCCGATAACTTTTTTTTTATCTCAGATCATTTAAATGCCTAAATATTTGTTTTAATATCTCCATTTTTTTATTTTGATTTTTTGAAACCACCTCAAATGTTGTCAAGGCCTATACCAAGTTTATACTTCTCAATGTGATCTAAAACTTTGCCATTAACAACATTTTTATCGGAGATCATTTAGTGGACCAAATATTCTCTGATTTTGATTTAAAAAAAAAAATCAAATGGCCTTGGACTTTGACATGGTCTATACCAAAGTTATATATCTCACCTTCATCTATAAGCTCAAGATTTTTTTAAAAGCTCAAAGGTTTTTTTTAAGTTCTCTAATTATGAAATTCATTTTTTTATTTTTTTCAAACAACCTCAGATGTAGGCATACCACATTTTTGGTGCTTGATAAGATCTAAAACTTTGTAATTAACTTTTTTCATTTCATGTTTTTTAGGAGCCCAAATATTCAATAGGAAGAATTCCTTGTGTGCCATTAAAAAAGATCGCAATGCTCTGTGTGTCTCTAGAAAAGTTCAGCGGTCTTCAGCGCCACTGCTCCAATTTTTTTGTGCCCTCCATGCCACTGCCGTCAGTTTGGGCTCTAACGCCGTCAAACTGCAGGCGTGAAAAGTCGAAAATACCCTTATGTCTAAATATGTCATTAATTTTTTTGAGCATCTTAATGACTTCAAATGAAAAAACTCAAAACTAGAAAGTTGTAGATGTCATCGAGATCTATAATTTTCATATAAAAATTATTTTCATTTAATTCCGCAAAAAAAGATATGATTTTTCTAAGATATATTAATCATATCAAATCATTTTTTTGTGAAATTAAATGAAGATAATTTTTATATAAAAATTATAGATCTCGACGAGATCTATAACTTTCTAATTTTGAGGTTTTTCATTTGAAGTCGTTAAGATGCTCAAAAAATTAATGACATATTTAGACATAAGGGTATTTTTGACTTTTCACACCTGCAGTTTGATGGCGTTAGAGCCCAAACTGACGGTAGTGGCATGGAGGGCACAAAAAAGTTAGAGCAGTGACGCTGAAGACCGTTGAACTTTTCCAGGGACACACAGGGCATTGCGATCTTTTTTAATGGCACACAAGGAATTCCCCCTATTCAATAAAGATGACATGGCTAAACAAACCAAGGGCACATGGAGCCCACAAGCCAAATATGTGCCACATCAGCTGAAACCATCATCAAAACCACTTTGAACTCTTTTAAAACAGTAATTTGTTTAGTTTTAAAAGTTGAGGGAGTATTTTTAGATAATGGGAGAAAAGCTTCTGGCCTCTAATAGAGTGCACACAACCAAGGTCTTACAAATTTTTTAGCTAATTGTTGTAAAAAAAAAGGGAACAAGAACACAACTAGATCAAAGTGATTATAAGCAAAGTCTATTATTGCTCCTCCATTCACTCTTTGGCATAAAAGTCCAATGCAACAACTTCAAAGGTTGAGAGATTTATGTTGTTCGGTATTTAAGTTCGAGAGTGTTTTTTAAATTCATGGAGCAAATCGAACTTTACTCTCAATTATTATTATAGTTCAACTCCAATTATTGTGATTAAACCTGCTATAATATCATGCTGGTAAGTGGCAAGTGACATTTTATATTGACCCCAGTCCCTAGTACTTGTGTGGACAGAAGAAACGATATGCATGGAAGAACCTTTGATTTCTGAATTCTGATAGTCGCCAATATCGGGAATGTCCATTTGAAATACTGCAAACGTCAGGTTGTGGACTAAATGACAAAGCCGTGTGACTATTGCTACGTTCTTCAAATAAAAAAAAGTCAGGCGCGTATTGCTACGTTCTTCACCAACTCTTAATATATTGCAGCGCCATTGGGGCCTAGTAATGTGCTCCATCCGTTTCAAGTTTATCTGTGTCAATTTCTTTTAACTTTGATCAAAATTATATGAAAAATGTGTCGACATATACACATTAAATTAGTTCTATCAAATCCATCGTAAATATGTCGTATATTTATTTGGTATTGTGAATATTGATATATTTTATTATGT